TCTACAGAGATATTGTAGAGAAAAAGGAATAGTAATGGACTTGACAATACCACATACACCCCAACTTAACGGAAAGGCTGAAAGACTCAATCGAACCCTGATAGAGAAAGTGAGATCTTTATTATTTGATTCCAACATGGACAAAATATTTTGGGGAGAGGCTGCCAGAGTTGCTACTTATATACTAAATAGAAGTCCTACAGAATCCCTACAGCTATATAAAACTCCTATTGAAATATGGACAGGTGACAAGCCAGATTTAAAAAGGATGCAAATTTTTGGTGTTGAAGCATACTCAAAAAATCTAGGATACCTAAAGAAACTAGATAGCCGATGTGAAAAATATGTATTTGTGGGCTATGCACCAACAGGATACCGCTTGTGGGACGAAAAGAATGAGAAAATCATATTAAGAAGAGATGATATTTTCAAAAAACCAAAATATGACGGTGAAAACCTAAAAATTAACATTAAAATAGATAAAGATGAAGAAATACCAGAAAATCAAGGAAAGGAGAAAAATCAACATGAAAAAGAGCAAAATATACCAGAAAGAGAAGAAATAATACAAGAACAAGAAAATGATAATGAAATTCAAGATGAAAACCAAACAGAGGAACCAAAACAACATGAAAATGAGATAGAATATATATATGAAGACAGTGATGAAGAGGATTTAAACTTGGGACAAGGCACAATTACAAGACGAGGAAGACATATTGAAAAACCACAACATTTAGAAGATTATATTCTACTAACATACGAAGAAGCAATTGGAAGTGAAGAAAAGAATCATTGGAAACAAGCAATAGAAGATGAAAAAGACTCACTAGAAAGGAACCAAACTTGGGAATATATTGACAAAACAGAAGCCAATGCTAAGAAAATACTATCAAATAAATGGGTTTTTAGGATAAAAGATAACGGGACATATAAAGCAAGACTTGTGGTACGAGGATGTCAACAGCAAAAAGGACTCGATTACGAAGAAATATTTAGTCCTGTTGTAAATATCAGTTCTCTAAGAATGTTGCTAGCCGTAGCAGTACAAAAAGATTTAAACATGAAAAAATTTGATATAAAGACAGCATTCCTCTATGGTACAATTACTGAAGACATTTATATGCATATTCCTGAAGGCTATGAAAAACAAGAAGGCAAAATATGCAAGCTGAAGAAATCACTATATGGGCTTAAGCAAGCACCAATGAGATGGAATGAGTGCTTCACAAGATTTTTAAAGGAAAATAACATGGAACCTTTGAGTGTTGACCAGTGCGTTTTTAAGAATCAAAAAGGAAATCTATTTTTAGCCATTTATGTTGACGATGGTTTAGTTGTCGGAGAAAAATTAGAAGATATAGACAACCTATTGAACAAACTAGAAGAAAATTTTGAGGTGAAGAAGTTTGAAAATATTGACAATTTCTTGGGGATAAAAATAACAAAAGGTGAAAACTGGATCAAGTTAGACCAAGAGAGCTACACTCAAAGTGTGATAGAAAGATTCCAAATGGAGAATGCAAAACCAGCAAATACACCAATCACAGACTATGAAGAAAAATCTACCACTGAAGAAAAACAAGAAATAAAATTTCCTTATCGTGAGGCAGTGGGCAGTCTTTTATACCTGTCAAACAAGACTCGCCCGGATATAGCATATGCAGTTGGTTTTTGCAGCAGAAATCTGGAAAATCCATCGAAGGTAGATGTAAACAATGTAAAGCGAATTTTGAGATACTTGAACGAAACAAAAACAAATGGAAATATTTATCATCAGAATGGACAAGATTCAGTGTTAACAGCATACAGCGACAGTGACTTTGCAGGGGACAAACAGACAAGAAAAAGCACTACAGGCTATGTAGTATTCTACAGTAATGGTCCAATAAGTTGGTGTTCCCAGAAACAACCAGTGACAGCATTGAGCAGTACGGAGGCTGAATTTATTGCAGCAGCTGAAAGTGTTAAAGAGGTACTGTACTTAAAAGTTCTTTTAGAAAGCATGTTTTTGAAAAATGTAACTGTTCTTTTGAATGTAGATAATCAAAGTGCTATCAGTATCATTAAAAATGGACAATTTAACAAAAGATCAAAACATATAGATGTTAGGTACCATTTTATTCATGAAAAGGTGAAAGAAGGATTGATTAAAATAGATTATATATGTACTGAGAATAATGTTGCAGATATTTTTACAAAAGCTCTAAATTTTATTAAATTTGAAAAACATAAGAATGTATTAGTTGAATAAGAATATTTTGATATTATTTTTTTTGGAGTGATAACATTTTATGATCATTAGGACAAGGTGTTGAGAAAACAAAAATTTATAGTTTAAATAATAATCATAAAATGTTATATTTTGGAGTTGGCAACATTGAATTGGCAGTTGAAGGAATTTGGTTGTCAACATAAAAAAAATGAGGTTAAGTTAGTCTGTAAGAATGTTTTTCTATTTTGGTGTCATATTGAAGTCTTTTCGACACTAAAAGTAGTTTCGAAAAGAAGCTCTTTGTGACACTCCTTTTTTACTTATCGAACGTTGGTAACACTGGCTGACTGATGGCCATCGAACTGTCATTCGCGATTTTATAATAGAAGATTTCTATATTTGGCAAGAAGTGTTACCAACCTAAACATATGAAATCAGGAAATATGAGAATAAAATGTTCAAGAAAAATTTTTTTTTCTTAATTAAACAATATCAAAATAGAAAAAATAGTATAAAATATTCGTTTCATAAGACATTTTATCGCACTCGCCCTTTAGAAAACTCGCCTCCGGCTCGTTTTCTAATATAGGGCTCGTGCGATAAAATGACGTCTTATGAAACTTGTATTTTAATGTACTATTTTCGTCACATTTTAAAAAACGATTAATGGCCGTTTGCACCTCGTTTGCACCGACCATTTTAAGGGAGGTTTAACAATAACCAACGTTTAAAGTGACATTTTTACATGTAATAAAGTCACTTTAAACGTTGAGTAGGTATCGTTAAACCTTCCTTAAAATGTTCGGTGCAAATGGCTATTAGTATTTAGTTTTTCGTAATTAGAAACCTTATAAAAAGCAAAACCCTTCGTATTCTCGTGTTTATTGAAAAGTAAAATAAAATAAAAACAAAATAAATCAACAGATAAGCATTTAAAGTTAATGCTGACTCATTGCATCCAAGGCCAAATTTTCGTCTTCAGTTTCAACTTGATTTTCGGAACATTCTTCAGTTTCGAAAGGATAACGCAGACCTAACATGGGATTTTTGGGCTCTATGGATTTTGCCCATTTTTTGATATATTGTAGAGGATTTAATTCTTAACAACCTTTAAATGGGAGGAAATCTTGTAGGTATTACGGACTTTGAGATATGATTGTTGAAAGATTAACTTTTTTGCGACTTTTTGTGTGGAGAGTATACTAAAAACTGGTGTTTATCAAACAAAATTTTGACAGGTCGACATATTTCACGTCACTAACAAATGTCAACATAGGCTAAGGCTGGGACCGCAGTGACGCCAACATTGAACCCAGTGCGGTCCCGGCCTTAACCTATGTTGACAATAATTTTTAAGTGACGTAAAATATGTGAACCTGTCAATATTTTGACTGATAAACACCAGTAGCACCAGTATCTCGTATACTCTCCACACAAAAAGTCGCAAAAAGTTAATCTTTCAACGCTCATATCTCAAAGGCTGTAATACCTACAAGATTTCCTCCCATTTAAAGGTTGTTCAGAATTAAATCCTCTACAACATATCAAAAAATGGGAAAAATCCATAGAGCCCAAAAATCCCATGTTGGGTGTGCGTTATCCTTTTCGTCAGGGTCAGGTAATTCGATTTCAAAGATATTAATTTTTTCGATTGTATATTTGGTAGGGCCTGCATTTGGGTCAGGTTTATAATAGTTATTATGGGTCTGTATTGATGTTTTGTGCTCGTGGTTGCACTGAAACTCCGAAAATAGGTGTGGGTTTCGAAAATTGTTGATTCGTGTTTTTTCGAAAGGCATTATTATAACTGCCCCTCTGTGGGGCACCTTCGGACACATGGCAACTTTATTTAATTTTAATTTTCACGAAAAACGGTGTAAGTTTTTTCTGAAATTGCTATGGTATTGGTTTAAAAACATATGATGCAACGTATTTGCATTTTTAGAACATTTAGTTTAGCTAAAATAAAATTGCAGTATCACGTCCTTAACCAAATCCGTCCGAACCTGCCCCACTCTACCCTATAGTAGGTATCACCCTATGACATATTTCTACATACCAAACAAACATATTTTTTACACCATAAACATATGTAGAAAATTTGCTAAAAAATATACACTTTTAATGAGTGATGCTTTTTTTGTCACTTAGTATATTATAGTTGAATTAAAAGATCGTTTTTCTGAGCATCACAAGGTCATTTCATACTTAGGTACAGCTACTAGGGCGTGGCACCCCAGAAAAATTTTCGTTCATGGCGAAACATTATTTTTTCTTGTTTTTGATCCTGGTATTTTGGTAATGAAAAAATCATATATGTATAAACTTTGACCAGATCTTCTGGAACAGCAGTAGTCTTAATCCACCAATCTTTCTGTTCTGGTCTTTCTATCTTTACTTGCCAGATTTTTTTCTCTACATTTTGTTGTTATAAAGGAACCATGACAACACATAGGATTTTTGAACTTCATTCAGATATTGATAATTCATAAAATTCGGTAAAACAGTGTATGATATTGGGTGGTATGAATAAAAACGAAGTACTTGCTACTACTACAAGTATTAGTATGTTTTACGTAGTATTTACTTCAAAACGAAGTAGATACTACATTTCAAAACTTCCGGAAGGTAGTAAATGCTTCTTTGTGAAGTGAATACTATGAAGAATATACTAATACTTGTAGTAGTATCACGTACTTCGTTTTTATGAGATACCACCCAATGTGAAAGGGTTCCATAGTTTCCATCTCTGTAATATATAAAGGTTTCAACTAAAAAACATTCATTCATTTCAACATTATATATTTTATAATACGTAGTAATGTGTGTTATGAATGTCACAGTAATGGGTATTACATTATGTATTTCAGAATAAAATAAAATATAAAGGAACCTACATATGGGCATAAAAGTATAATAAAAACGACAATCATCACAACATTTTTCAGTTTCTTATAATTATACAAATGTGCGCTAGTAAATAGAAAAAAAATATATTGAAGCACCATTATTTTTTTTGGCATAAGTTTCCTTACACATTATAGGCGTAGGCGTTTTACAAATACATATTACATTTCAGCACCCAATATTAATATTTTTATTTTTCACTAATATTATATTTTCTTTAAGTATTTTATTATACTTAAATATTAAGTCCCTCATTTAACAACAACAATTACTATTTTGTGCATATTTCAATAAATTTAAAAACTAATAAAAATTAAAAATACAACAGGAACAAAATTATTATCTACCTATCACAAATTTTAAAAAAATCTCTGTTGGATTTAAATTTTAAACTCATTGTCAGATCAAACTATGGGTGAATTCTTTTATTCAGCAACAGATCCATCCGCTGCCAGCATTATGAGACAGTAATTCCGATTTTCTATGAACTAGACAAAGATAGACTGGTCATCGATGAATTCATCGCTGAATAAAAAAAAGCGCCCTATTATTCTAAAAATACGAATTTTCTCAAGTACATTGCACCTTCAAAAATATATTTCTACATTTATCTTAAATATTCGAAAAATAGGATATTTGGATCCAATTAAATTTAGGCAAGGGTTATTCATACTTTATACTTTCCTTATGTTAAGTTCAACAAAAATTTAAAACAAATTTAGTTTTGATTTCTTATTGAAAGAAAAAGTACTTATTTATTCGTCACGTCCTGACAAAGCCAATTGGTCTTCGGGTAAAGGATCTCTTTTGTACATTGGGTCATGGACTAAATAGAGAACCAAAAGCCCATAAAGTACCACTATCAGGCCGATAAAGTTGAAAACAAAGGCCTCTGGTACAAAGTTCTTATAGTTGTCAGACCTGGAACACAATATTATGTGTTGAATACATTTAGATTTTATATTTATTATGTAACTTACAATGTAAAAATGGCTTTTTCATTAAGTCCAGTTAGAGCGCTGACAATCGCCATTACAAAGGCGCTTGTGCCAACAACGACATGAACAGGCATTATAGCTTTTCTTAAAGAAGGGGAAATTCCAGGATAGAGGAAAGAGAGAAATCCAGCTAAAAACTGAAATAAACAATTTGATTATAATAATGTCTTATTTTATTGGCTACAGTTAACTTTCTGGAAGTGTTGAGTCTACAAACATACAAAATTATATTAATAACAACCATGACTAGTAGTAGGTAAATATTATATAAGAGATAACAGAAACGATGACAGTGATTGCTGGAAATAAGACTACATATATCTGTAGTGCCTTCATTAAAATGTAAAATTTAATATCTAGCTGTAGATACTAGTAGCACTTAAATTCATAAAATGTATGCAATAAATTTATAATTTTTTGGAAATTCTAATCAATTTGATGGAAAAATAGGTCACAATATAGGTATAGAATGAAATAAATAATCCGACCCCACTAGTAATCTCTAACTACAGCATCAACCGAGGGGTGGTTAACTGGTCAAAATCTGTCTACAAGTTGGTCAAAATCTCATAAGATCTACTGAAAATCCCTAAAAATCTTTGAAATTTAACAAAATTTCTTGAAATTGCATAAAATCCTACAAAATTTCATTAAAACCAAAAAAATCCTGCAAAATCCTATAAAATCATTATCATTCCTAAAAAATATTTCCTTTGAAATTCCCAAAAATTCTTTGGAATTCCCAAAAATCTCTCAGAATTCCATAATTTAGTGGAATTTCGGTAGAATTATGTTATTTTGAAAAAGGAATTACATGTGAAATTTTTGCGGAGTTTCCATAGAATTCACATTAAATTTTAGTTCCTCTCGAATTACATGAAATTTCAGTGAAATTCCGATCGAATTACGCGAAATCCCAAATGAATTGCATAGAGGAATTTTAAACAATTATATTAAATTACACCAAAATTCCCACCATGAAATTTCAGTTCTTACTGAATTTTAATGAAATTCTAGAAAATTCCACAAGTGGAATGCCGGCTAAAAAACATGGAATTTCTGTGATATTCCGAAAAATTCCCATGTAAAGACATGAAATTTCAATATATTTCGGTGAATTTTCAAGAAATTACTTGAAGTTTCATTAATATTCCCAGAAGTTCCTGGCTATTAAAAGAGACTTTCAGTGAAATTCTGAAAAATTCTTATGAAAATAAATGAAATTTTGAAAAATTCCTGGACTTTCGAGAAAACTTCGGACATGAACGTAGAATTTCAAAATATTCTCATAAAATTTTAGTGAATCCCGAGAAATTTTTAAGAAATTACTTAAATGAAAAAAAATGACATTCCGAAGAATTTAATGAAAATTTTGTGGAATTCCAGGATATTTCAGTGGTGAAATTTTGGGGAATTTCAGTAGAGTTAAAAAAAAAAAATGGAATTTTTAAATTGAAATTTTAGTGGAATTCCGAGGAATTTCATGAAAACCTATACTGTAAATCCGAAAAAAATTTGTCTAAGAATTCCATAAAATCCTGGTGAAATGTTAAGGAATTTCTATAAAATGACTTTAAATTTCGCGAAATTCCTATGAAATAACTTGAAATTTTAGTGGAATTCCGAAGAATTTCATAGTGTAATTCCAAGGAATTTTTGTTTAAGAATTCCATTGAATTTTATTGTGGAATTCCATGATATCGTATGGTGAAGTTTGGAACAATATTATGAAATCTAATAGTAACATTTTTAGGAATTTCCGTTTTTTCATCCAAATTTACCATTTGAATAATTTGAATGGAATTTCGAGGAATTCCATAAAATCTTCTGGTGAAATTCTAAGGAATTTCTATGAAATTAACTAAAATTTTCACGGAATTCCCATGGAATAACTTGAAATTTTATTGGAATTCCGAAGAAAAAAAAATTCCAAGAATTCCAATGAGTTTTATGGTGTGAAATGTGACATGTGAAATTTTTGGGGAGTTTCCATAGAATTTACATTAAATTTTAGTTCCGCTCGAATTACATGAAATTTCGAGACATTACATGTTTCAGTGGAATTTCGATCGAATTACATGAAATCCTGAATGAGAAAAATTGAAGTTTTATTGGAATTCCGAGAAGTTTTCGACTAATAACGTGGAATTTCAGTGAAATTTCAAAAAATCCTCATAAAATTATAGAGAAATTCCGAGGAATTTCTAAAAAATTACAGGAAATTTCGAAAAATTTCATGAAAATTTTGTGGAATTCCAGAATATTTCAGTGGTGAAGTTTTGGGGAATTTCCTCGGGAATTTCAATAAAGTTTTTAAAAAATTATGGAATTTGAATTTCTATAGAATTTTGGAGAATTTCAGTGAGATTACGAAAAAAAAAAAATTAAATATTCGCAGAATTTCCATCAAATTATATACCTATAATTTCACTTGACTTACATAAAATTTCGATGAAATGTTAAGTAAAATTCCAAGGAATTCTCATCGAATTATATACGTAAAATTCCTTGAAATCTTATTGTGGAATTCCAGTGAAATTACATGGAATCCGAAGAATTCACTTGAAATTAAACAAAATTTCCGTGGAATTTCCATGGAACCACGAGAAATTTTGACGGAATTCCGAAGAAATGAATTAAATTTTGGTGAAATTCTGAGTCATTTCTGTTGAATTACATAAGATTTTAGTAGAATTCCGAGAAATTTCATGAAATCTTTTACAGTAATTCCAAGGAATTTTTGTAAAAGAATTCCATTGAATTTTATGGTGAAATTCCATGGAATTTTTTGGTGAAATTCGGAAAAGTATTATGAAATTTTATGGTAAAATTTCTAGGACTTTCAAATTTGTCATTTGAATGGAATTTCTCTAAAAATGCTCCAAAATCACCTAAAATCTTTAAAAATCCTGCAAAATCATATGAAGATTTTCAAAATCTTCAAAATCCTACAAAATTAACTCGAAAATTAATGAAGATTTAAAATCTGTATACATATTTTGAGGAGTTAACCACCCCTCGGCATCAACTTTTCCAGAGTTTTACATTATTTATGCAACCAATAAAAGTATGTTCTTACCTGTGTTGAAAAAATAATGACAGTCAACAGTCCAATCCAAGAATGCAAACTGTATAGGTTCGCCATCGGTGGCGAAGCTAAATTGTGCGAATCAAATACGGCTTTCAGTGCGATCACAGAACAAACAAAAGCTAGAAGATGAAGACCGCCGTGTAACAGTTTGAGCTTCATTTTTGGTTTACTACGGCCTGTTCTATAAGTTAGTATAGCTAGAAAAAAAATAACAATATTTATCATTATAGTTAAGTATATGAATAATCAATAATTTATCAGATTTCTTAAAAAAAGTCAAATGTTTGGGTAAAAAAAACTTTTATTGTGCTTTACCTTGCGAGTATAAAAATACCATTCCAAATAACATCAAGAATGGATGCCAGTTAAATTGCCTTTTAATGTCTGAAGTCCACGCAAAACCTTCTCTGTAGTGAAGCAACCAAAATAAAACCAGAATCAACAGACCTGTACCCATGGCTGTAGTGAAGGAGTAGATACTGTTATACATTTTGGTTCTCTGGTGTTCTGCACGGGCTTCCATAGCTCTAGAATGAATGTCAACTTTAAAAATTCAAAGTATTTACTGCTTGTTATAAGTCTGCCTATCTTGCTCAAAAGTTAATACTTGATTAAAAGCTTACACAATATTGCCTTCTTGTACATTCCATGTCTTCCTACCAGTGACAGAGCACATTTTTTATCTCATAAATTCCGAACCCTAATGATAATTATCTTTTCAAATACAACAATAAATAAATTTGTTTATTTATTTTATCAAATTTCGACATAGCATTAACAAAACGGGCATAAATAAGATAATAGCATTAACAATGAGTGCGCTTCTATGTTATCATTAAACTAATAATATTTTAGGCTCACCAGTTTATTAGGTATTTGACAATAATTAGTCAATTTTCAAATATTTATGTGCCAGTATTTGAAATAAAATTACAAGAATCATCAATAACAAAGATAGGTACCAAAATTAAGGTACATTGCAAAATTTACGTTTTTTTGCAAAATTTGGCGAATTTATGCACAATGGGACAACACCGCATGGTCATTTTGTATGGCCCCGTGAATTCCCTCAAGTAGACGAAGTTTCAACCTCTGTGAACCATATGTGAATTAGAATATGACCTTATAATAAAAGCTTTTTATCTTTTTCCTGGAAATTTTGTATAAGGTACAACTATCACTTTTTAAGAGCAACTCAACAATGTGTTCTAGAAACTGCCTCAAGATGGCTTTGAAATTAGTGTCAAAAAATGTACATGTAATTCCAAAACAAAACCTATTTATCTGAATTCCAAAGACTGCCAAAGAATTCCTGCGACTGCCGAAAAAATCCATAGACTGCCAAAAAGGGGGATGAATTCTACTGACTACAATTGAATGTCAATGACTTCTTAATGAATGCCTGTGCTTCCTGTGACTGCAGTAGGACTACCATTACTTCTTATACTATTTTTACTAGATTATACCATGTAATTTCGAAGAACTAAATAATTTCCGTACATTTCGCTCCAACTTTTAGACGTCAGTTAATCAATTATATAGAAAATTCTCGAGAAAAATATTTTTTTTTTTTTTTTTAACTGTGTTTAGAGAAAATCAGGAAATAACTAGTTCCATCCACTATCCACAGACTCTTGTACAGGGTGGCCCATTTTCGATATTTTAATGGGCTATATCAAATACCAGCAGAGATATCAAAAATCTGGGACCACATTCTTGAGCTCTTTTTTTGGGAAAAAAACAATGGCGAAGACAAATCACGGCTAACTTGATGCGTTTAGGAAATACAGGGCACTTTTCAAATTTTGTGCAAATTTAAAAGACTCTCTAATTTCCTTATTATCCAAGATATCCAAAAACGAAAAATACTTTCTATAGGCAGTTTTTCAAGTAGAATCTAGCAACATGACCATTTTTTTTTCCAGATGCCACCGATTTTGAAATATTGACCAGAGTTGTGTTTTTTCAAATGGGACACCCCGTATATTATTTTTTCATTGAGTAGCTCTTTGTGAGCTGATTTCAATGATATAAGATTTTATACTTTTACCTTCAATAGTTTTGGAGAAAAATAAATAAATTCCGTTTTTTCCATAAGAAACAATGAGTTAGAAAGAGATAGTTGAACTATGAATCGGCTACAAATTTCTTAATTTTTAATTTAATTTTTCAGTTCAGCTATTTTTTTTTTTTTTTTAATTTGAACTATGAATCGGGGGTGATGAATAGGCAACACATAATTTATGACCTACCTCTCTCTAGCTCATTGTTTCTTATGGAAAAACGGAATTAACTTTTTTTTTCTCCAAAACTATAGAATGTAAAGGTATAAATTGGTCATGCCACTGGATTCTCCTTGAAAAACTGCCTATAGAAAGTATTTTTTGGACATCTTGATTAATAAATAAATTAGAAGGTCTTCTAAAATTGCAGAGAGAGAGAGAACTCTTTGTGCGCTCATCTGCTTTCAATCTCTGTACTCAGGCTTCTACAAGTTTTTCATGTTGTTTACTACGTAACTTACGTTTCAAATATGATCTCAAGCAACTAAACAAATGTTTCTATTGAGGATTCTATTCGCGATCAAAAGCGTGTGGCAAGTGACTGCGAATGCCGCGACCAAACTCCTCAAAATTGTCGTGAATACCAATGAATGCCGCGCGACTTCCAGCGACTTTCAGTGACTGCCAAGTGAGTTCTAGCGACTACGCGGAATTCCGCCACTGACTGCCAAACTTCCAATGACTACTAAGCGAATTCCTGTGACTTCCACAATACAATCAAGAAAATGTATATGTAATTCCAGAAGTGACACACCCCTCGGTTCTCAATCAATACTACCTCAAATTAGTTTTAAACCATTTCAGAACATTTTCCTTCACACTATTAGATATTTCCTTTACCAACCAAATTCACTGGTTTTGGTTAACTAATACTACCTAATATAAGCAAAAATGAATTATTAATGTTTATTGTTTATAAAAACCTTGGAATAATCAATTATCTACTCCAAACTGAACAAAAATAGTTTTATCAATAGCTACCCATGCTGATTAATATAATAATTTGCATTTTGTTAAAAACATTGTTATACCTAAGTGACACATACACGATAATAATATGAACCTACATATTATCTACATACTTTAATACAATTTCAAGTTTATGTTAAAATTATTGTTTTTACCATTTAAAATCCTTGGGGTAATGAAACTTAAACATCTTGAAATAATGTCTGCCTCAGAATATAGTTTTTTTTGAATAATATATTTGGAACTTGAGAAAGTACCCAGTATTTTGCCAAAGAATATCAGTTTGGTAAATCTCTTGTAAGTCTCTCAAGCTCCAAAACCGATAATTTCTAACTTTGATTTGCCAGAGGCAAATTACTTGTGGCAGTGCTTATTCCTATCCGTTTTGTCATCTTATTTTGTATTGACTTTTAGGTTCTAAAATTTGCTAATTTGAATAGAAAAAGACGAGGAAAAAGATATTAGAAAAATGGCTAGGATGCACACAGATTGTCAGTTGATACTAAAACATAGGCACTGGAAAACATATCATGCAATAATGTTCTGCCTATTTGTTCATAAAAATAGACATTTAAATACGAACTATATACAAAACCACAATGGAACTAGGAGTCAAACGATGTTAAATTCCTAATATTGCTAAATTCTCAATGTTTAGCTTAGGGCGTGAAAGATTAATGCAGTAGATGTGCAAAATACGCTTGGTTTTTTACAAAACTGCTCATACAGGTGTTTTATACACTTAAGTGCACCATACATTCTTGGAATAATTTTGTTATGCCTGTTATTAGGCTATATGTTTATTGTAACTCAAATTGTTTTTTTTTTTTCAAGTTCATTTAATAAATATGAATGAATACAAATACAAATAACTATAGCAAACAAAGATATCATATCAGCAGCGAAATTATCACCAAAAATTTGAAAAATAGTAAAAAATCGAGTAAAAAATAGAAGTAAATTTCCTACCTGTTTCCGGTTCCAGCTGTTGAATAGTCTTCGTCTTCGGGCTCGTGCTCGGACAACAACGACTCTGAGCTCATTTACTGCGACGAAATGTGGAGCATTCAACAAGTAATCAATAACGTGGACGTACACCCACCACCCTCCTGAAAATCCTTGATTTATTTGCCACTTTTCTACCACTTCGTAAAATTCCTTTCACAATTCACATTGAACTGTCGAAGATAAGTACTGTGTTTTGTTTAAAAAGCCGGTTGTTGCCGGAAAATAAATTATTCAAATCTCAAAATTCATAAGGATTGTCGATTGTCGCAACTGCTTGTTTACCACTTTCCCAGTAGGAATTTAAATAAATTAAAACTTATTTTGTTTTTGTTTATATTTGTTCATGTTATGACAGTCATGACAATTCGAATCGGCATCCCGAGCCGTATTCTTTCGGACCGGATCAGTTGATCAAAACGCGTTATGTTCCAGTGATCACGTTCTTTCGCATTTTGGCAAATGACAGTTAACGAATCATGATCCGAGAAAGTCTGAACATATTGAACATTTTTTGATTGTGATTAGTTTGTTCCGATCGCGAAAATCTAACCTCAACTTTCAAATTATTTCTTGTTTACTTTTTGCGCTTTCTGCAATAATATATAATATAAATTTTGTAAGCTCGTCCATTATTATAAGCACAGAAAAACAAACGTAGCAAACCAAAAAACTGCAAAATATAATAATAACCAACTCAAAAAATAGAGAATAGAGGAAAAGCACCAGCTGGCAGTGACACATCAGTGACAGCGTTTTTTCGGACTAATAAATGAAACATGTTCCATCTGAACGAACGGATCAGGATCTCGGAATCATGATTCAAATATTTTGCGAAAGAATGCGGCTCCGTTTTAGGCGATTTCGGATCACAGTTTTGGTAACCGTTGACGGGGCACTTTCCAAAATTCACCGATAAATTGACCGGTTAAAAAAACCGGTAGCTGTCAGAATATTCCGGTAAAAGTCGTAGGTGTTATGGTTATGCCTCATTCTCACTTGCGCGAAATTCGCCTTTTTTGCGCGAAATTCGCTCTTTTTTGACATTACTTCGACAATTTGACATTTGATTCACGCATAAAACGTCAAATTGTCGAAGCAATGTCAAAAAAGAGCGAATTTCGTAAAGTCTGTTTTTTTTTTAAAGATAATTCCCCAAGTCAAAAATTTAGTAACTATGTTGGCAGCACAAGCCTTCTCTAAATAAAAATTTGAAAGCATTGACAATTTTACATTGTATTGCCAACATAATGTCATTTTGACTTTTATCTTTAAAAAAAAAAACACAGTTTAGTTATGCTCATGTTGGGCGTCTTTGGGTTGACGCTCGGCGGAGCGAGCAGAGCGATTACGGAGTAACGTGACGTCACAGGGAGTACACCGTGTCAAGCCAAATAAACTTGTGCAAAAATGCTGGCTTGAGCGATCAGCTGATAATTGACCTATCTTTTTTTACCTTGACTGCGCGCGCAACTCGTGGGTTGCAGGTGAGTGTCCAATGAGAAGCGAGTTTGTCACGGGCTTGCGTCATATTCTTATTCAGGATCCAGTTCAGAATGAATTGTTCCTTCTTTCTTTGTAACGTGTAATTCGACAAAGAGCAAACTAATACTTTACGTATTACTTCTGAACTCACCGCAGTGTTGTTCAAAATTATGTCAGATTATATTTGACATATTCCTTTGCACTTTCATTGTGCGATGTTGCTCGATGAAACGTTTATCAAAATGAAAGTGCAAATGATGTTAAAATACACTTTGAAGCTTTTCCTTTGTCTGATTTAAAGCGTTGTAAAATATGTTGTAAAAAATCTCGTTTTATTGGTTATGTTCGATTTGTATTGTCTAGATTTGTTCTGCTACAATACAACTGGCTACACTGCAACCCACTAGTTGCGCGCGCATGTCATCTTTTATTACTTTCCAACTTGTCTTTATCACAATTAAGCTATCTTTTTCTATTTATATGCGAGACAGGTCAATTGTTTATTTTTCTAGCATATATTTTTTGGAGTCCGAGCCCGCATTCCGCATTTGCACCAGAGTTTTCTCGTTTGTTTTGCATTTTAGCCGATAATTTTCAAACAGCCCCATTTTCTTTTGTATTTTGCAAAAAATGTCGTGCTACATAAACAATAAAACTCGCAATAAAACGGACCTAAACACTCTAAGGCTGCCAAGTTCCCTTGGAAAAATATGTTCAATAATACTAGTGATGAGGACTATCGAGAAAATTTAATTAAATTAAAAGTAAACAATTATGCAGAATTTACTAGCTATTAGGCAATTCAATCCATCTGTCAAAAAGGAAAATTCAATATGGCGTGGCGGCCAAGCAAGTTTGTTTTGAATATGTTTTTATATGCGTATTTTAAATTATTTTGCTTAGAGTTTTGCTTGCAACTTTGATTTTGTGTTTTGCGGGTAGCTAATACAAAATGTTTTGCGGGTAGCTAATACGTAATGTCTTAGCTGGTAGTGGACTGTATTTACTTTGCGGCGCAACCTCTAAATAATGATAAAAAGGACTTACCCAATGATTCCATAAGTGCACTCCTGCAGGGACCCTGCTTTACACACGCGCTGCGGATTATGGTGTTCCCAATTACGGGTTATGTAACTTTGTAGAAGGTTGATACGAGAGGACTTCACAATGAAGTTTTTAGATTAGAAATATTGCGACCGGGTTAAGCCGTACGACGATGCGCCCGTGTCGTCTCATCGAGTTTCTTAGCAAGTCTGTTAAAAATTACTCGCTTCTGGTACGTCCACTATCAAAATCTAGAGGTACGACTTTTTTTGCGCGAAACAAAAACAAAAAATGCGAGCAAACAGGAATTTTGCACCTTTGCCAAATTGTATAAAATTTATTTAGAATAAAGACGAAACATTTTGATTATTTGAAAAAATATTTGTTGACTATGTACCTTGACTATTAAATCGGGCAGAAACTAGATTTTTTTTGTATTTTTTGGCCCATGTGTGGCCGTTACGCCATCTTGAATGTCACGTGGTTTGAATTGCCTAATTTGATTGTTTTCCGGAAATTAGGTTAGGTTATACAGACAGATTAAACTGCGCATGTACGCTTCAGCTGCCCACCCCACGGCACAAACTCGGAGTTTATCGAGCTCGCTCTGAGCGCTCAAAATATGTCAAACCAAACACAATCAAGCGTTGTCGGAGCTTCAAAAATAACGGAAGAGAGACAAAAGTGCAAGCTCTGAGTGCACCGAGCGTGAACCCAAACGCGCCCGTTGATTTTAAGGCAATGGATAGAGGTCCGAAAATTCGGATCTCTAGTGTTCATACCATTACTAAGATCCGACAATTTTCGGATTTTCAATTTGTATATTAGGGGTCCGAAAATGCGGATCTTTAGCGGTAATATTGAAGATCCGAAAATAGATGTTTATTTCTAATTCTGTCTAATTAAGGAGTATCGTCGCAAGTATCTACAAAGAATAATATTCGAGATAAGTCTGTTTCTGCAGAAATCACAAACCAGTCAGAGTGAATTTCATTGGTTGATGTTGATACTAGTTTTCTGACTGTTTTCAACCAATGAAATTTGCTCTGACTAATTTGTGATTTCTGCAGAAACAGACTTATCTTGAATATTACCTATTCTTTGTAGATATTTGCGACACCATTTTAATGAAACTAGCCCAAGAACCAAATACTACTGCACAAAATCAATTAGAAGAAAAAATAAAAAGTATTAAATTTCCTTTGAAAAATGAAGTTCCTAAACTGAGGCACCAGATAATGCTTAATGCAGTTTTAAATACAGATGATTTGGTAAGCAAAGCATCACATAAAAACTTTAAAAATGAGAAATAAAACATTCCTCATTATCAACAAATTGATCCACTTCTTCTTGAAAAATAAATATCTTTAGCAGAAATAGAAACATATTTTTGTCTGGATTCTTATGTTTTATTACAAAAACGAATTGGAGAAAAACAAAATAGTATTCTAAAATGCATTTGTGATATATGTAACAATAGTGATACATGAAGATTGCTCACGGTGTGATTCATGTCTTCGGTGTAAACATAAAGTGAGCTGTTCAGTAACAAAGCTGCCTTCTAGTAAAAAGCCTGGTTTTGCATGCAGTGCAGAAGGAACTAAATCACACCTTACACCTCTTACCCTATCAACCCTTAAAATGAAGAAATATTTATTTTTAATTATGTAATGTTTTAAAAAAATAAAAAGGTACCTACTTAGTTTTAATTTTTGGAATTTTCTGTTTGAAATTGCACCAACCAAATATTTTCGAGTAAACTTGATTAGTTATTCTACATAAAAAGGATTAGAGGATCCATTTTTTCTAGTATAAATCCTTAAAAATACAAGCATTTTATCAATTTTATTGAAATGGTATAATATTCCTCAATTACGACAGAATTAGAAATAAACATCTATTTTCGGATCTTCAATAATACCACTGAAGATCCGCATTTTCGGACCCCTAATATACAAATTGAAAGTCCGAGAATTATCGAAACTTTAGTATGAACACTAGAGATCCGAATTCTCGGACCTCTATCCACTGCCTAAATTTAAACCAAATTGAAACGGAATCGCCTATATGCTCCAAACCAACTTCAAACCCTTGCGTTCGGTATTTTGCTCAAAAAGCAGAGCGTGCTGAGCGGTGCCGTAATCACGTGACCAGCGAGCGAACAGAGCAGTTGAATGCTGTATCAGAGTGCCAGAAATTTTAATAAACGAACACGAATGAGCCTGCACCGAGTACACTTTTCAAATAAATTCATGCTCGGAGAACTTAGATCAAAATACCAAACGCAAGGAAAATAGGCAATTCAAACCACGTGACACTCAAGATGGCGTTGCGGCCACACATCACACATGGGCCAAAAAACAAAAAACACAAAAAAATATCTAGTTTCTGCCCGATTTAATAGTTTAGGTACCTAGTCAACAAATATTTTATTAAATAATCAAAATCAAAGTTGCAAACAAACCTCTAACAAAATAATTTAAAATACGCATAAAAACATATTCAAAACAAACTTGCTTGGCTGCTACGCCATATTGAATTTTCCTTTTTGACAGATGGATTGGATTGCCTAAGGAGCTGTCAATCCTAACCTCAAACAAGTCAAACATAACCGTCAAAACTTTCCGAAAACAAACATTTAAATTTTTCAACAAAAACAAAAAAAAAAACGCATTTAGTTTGGAAAAAAGTATCAAAATTCGTTGTGAACTATTTCAATTTCGTTCAAATTAAATTATGTCCTATACTCCGTCTTTGAGTTTCGTCCGTCTACAAGAATTAAAACTATGGCAGGGAAGTTATGATAATCTACTACAAAAACAAGGATCCAGATGTAACTCACAGTCGGGTAACCATTCCGGGGTTTCTCCAGATGTTAGTCTAAATTCCAGCACTCAGCTAAGTAATGACGCTAGAGAATGGGACAAAAAGAAAATTTCCCCCTCAAAACCGTTTGACGAATTGTTGGAGGAAAAGTTGGCGGAGGATACTCCATACATCTCAGATCCGAAGCCTAAAAAGCGCTTTTTGAGGAAAGGTGAAGGCTTAGCTAGGTTTCGAATGGGACCATCTACTGCCACGAATGGTTGCATGGAAAAGAGAAGAGGTAAGTCTTTATTACCAATCTTACCCATCGAAAACCCCCCCTAAAAATATATAAATTTTGCTTAGAATTATTAACCCTACAATTTTATCCATGTTGTCTGACTGGGAATGAGTGCCAAAAATCGTCACTGCCTCTTAAACTATCACTTTTGTATCTTGATCATTGTGCTTACACAGATAAAATAATGAAAAGTTGCAAATTTGTAAGAAAACATGTATATTTTGTACAAAAATTTTCCAAAAGGTATGTTTTTACAAATGAAAATTTATTTGGTAACTGCATGCATAGCATTAGCCACATATTCAACATTATTACTTCCCAAAGAAGCTACCGAAATTCGGCCGTTCATTGTCAGATACACATGATGTTCTTTGGTCATCTTTAGAACTTGTTCTTTTGTCAATCCTGAAAAATATTTAGTTACTTGAGACAAAATTTTGATGCGTTTTCGCAGGGTTAAACCAGATTTTATCTAGTAAGTCCTAGAAATCATTGATATAATGATGGGGGGGATTCTTCTGTCAATCTTTCAGATGTATTTTAAGCTGCATTAATATTCACTCCGAAGTCCAATTTGTCTTGAAATAATTAACATTGTATTTGAGGAGCTTAAATGATTAAGGACTGGTTTATTAGTGGACAGTTTCTGTCAGTTAGCTAATGATAATTATCAATTAATTGACAGCTAAACTAAAAAACCGTCCACTGATAAACCAGTCCTTTGTCTGCTATAATGCTAAATGATGAGTGGAATAACGGCTCCTTTAATAAGAGCGCGAGTTCACATGAGCAATGAACGAGGCAATGAATTTTAGCAAATCAGTGACTGTTTTTAGTGCCTGCAATAGTGACACTTTAACATGTTTAAAAAAAGAATCTAGAATCCAGAGGAGAGAGTAAAGTACCACCTACCTGTGAAACTAAACATTCCAATTTGATTAAGGATATGTGCCCAGTCTTTTTGTGAGCCAGCTTTTTTCAAACCATCAACGAGTTGTTGTCTTGCAGTTTTGATTCTTGCAGACATCGCTGAAATTTAGAAATTCTCCATAAATAGGTTCAAATTCTTTGAGACAAAATTTTTCAAATAATTTAAGTAGATAAAATAGTTGGAAAAAAACCTACTTTTTATGTCTTCCAACCACTGGCATCTCAGCTCAGGATCTCCCATAACATGCATCGCCACGCGAGCTCCATATAAAGGCGGGTTTGAATACATATGGCGAATTAGAAAGTTCATTTGAGATTTTAATTTAGCTTGCTCTTCTTTAGATTCTAAAAATAGAGCAGCAACATTATTTTATTATCGTTTAATTGTGTGAAAATTATATACGAGCTATTAGAGTGCAAGCTCCAATCCTTTCTCCATAAAGTCCCATATTTTTGGAAAAGCTTTGACATAAAGCTACCTGTTGGCCATCGTCCACGAATTTTCTGACTGCTCCCGCATCGGAATCTAGATCTCCACTTGCAAATCCTATAAAATGTACATATTAATAAAGGTTATCAAATTTAGGCCCGGGTTATCCATCTTAAAAAAACTATCTGCTAGAAAAATTTACGGATGTATGGGATTACAGATTGCCTTTTTAGCAGTCAGATTGCATTACCTGAGAGTTTATCAGAAGATGAAAAAACCGCGCAAACCAGGTATTACGAGATACGTCAATTAGGTAAGAATTATACTGCTGCTTTGAATTTTTAAACATTCCGAATAATTCCACCAAGGAGAATTTCCCTAAACTCATTCTTGTTATAAATGTGGTCTTTATTCTGGATTTCTCTTCTGCTATCCTCTTCTCATTGTTCTCATATCTAAGGACTAGATACAACTTTATACCTACTAAAGGGTATAACTGGTCTTCAATTACAGTCAGTGGTAATTCCATTTTAGCTGTTTGGCTTAGACCCCTGTAAGCTAAACAATTGGTCAAACACAATCTTGAATCTTTAGTTTTTTCTCGCATACTTTTTCCCAAGGGGTAAACCACAATCCCAGAATTTGTGCAAACAATTCCTCAAAGGGGAATTTTTTACGCATAATTCCTCAAAATTGCTGCAAATTTCCCACAAACTCCTCTAGATACCCCATCACAAATTCTTCTAAATTCCCTGCAAATTCTTCCAAATTCCCGCAAATTCCTCCATAATCCTCTCAAATTTCCCACAAATGTCTCTTACAAATTCCCTAAAAATCCCCAAATTGCTCGTGATAAGAAATTTATTTTTTCTATTTTTATTTCGCTTAGTTTCAAGAGCAGTTTATCAAGTAGGATCGATGGAAAACAGCAACAGGAAGAATCTTGGAAGTCAACCTACAAAAACTGAATTAGTTGAAAATACAGTCTCACACATTTCAAAGTTTTCCTGGAAAACTAGTGAAGGGAAAATTTTGAAACTTTTTGCATGTAAAGAGGAAGGTGAGAAGCTCATTTTCCCAAAAGTTCAAATTTTTCCAGTGGAAAACAGCAACAGGAAGAATCTTGGAAGTCAACCTACATAAACTGAATCAGTTGAAAATACAGTCTCACACATTTTGTTTTCCTGGAAAACTAGTGAAGGGAAAATTTCCAAACTTTTTGCATGTAAAGAGAAAGGGAAGAAGCTCATTTTCCCAAAGTTTCAAATTTTTCTAGAGGAAAATAGCAACATGAAAAATCTTGGAAATCAACTTACAAAAACTGAAATAATTGTTAATATAATCTCACACTAGGGTTGGCAAATGACTGGTCAAATATTTTTCGTTCAATTGACCTTGTATTTGACCGGTCATTTGTTAAATTGCTCGCGTCAATTACTCGAGTAGTGAGAATCATGACGGTAGCTTTATTGCCATCATTTTTTCCGCCAGGTATGACGTATAAAAAGGACAGAGAGACACTAGAAAAGATACTAAATGTTTCTTTCCTACCTGAGAGTAACATTTTTACTTAAATAGTGGTTCTGTTATCGTTTCTTTTTATCAAAAAGTCACTATTTATGCAACAAGTGTGTAAAGTCACGAATGTAAATTTTGACGCACGAGCCGAAGACGAGTGCGAGAATCACATGATTGAAAAAAGGTGCTTTACACACATAGTGCATAGAGTGAAAATCGAGGTGAAAATACTTCATGCACTAGTGCGTAAAGTATTTGTCATAATTTTTTTTTACACATATTCCATTGCTAGTAGGAAAAATAAGTTTTGATTTTGTCTTTCTGTCAAAGAAATAAGTTTTGTTCGTTTCATTTTCGATAGTAAAATTTTATTTTATTTTCTATGCGATAAACTATTGCTTCTGCAGGTAATTCAATTCAATTCAATTCAATTCTTTATTGTCTAACAGGAATACATACTCCCAATAATGAGACAATTAGTGCACTTAAGAGCGAACAAAAATATGAAAATTTAAAAGCTAAGATTATATCACACATAAGATCCAGAAAGCTAATAAGAAGCCTTAAACAAAAATAAAAACAACTATGAAACTAAAAACAAAAATAACTAATAACAAAAAATAAAAATAAAAATAAAAATAAAAATAAAAATAAAAATAAAAATAAAAATAAAAATAAAAATAAAAATAAAAATAAAAATAAAAATAAAAATAAAAATAAAAATAAAAATAAAAATAAAAATAAAAATAAAAATAAAAATAAAAATAAAAATAAAAATAAAAATAAAAATAAAAATAAAAATAAAAATAAAAATAAAAATAAAAATAAAAATAAAAAGGTAATTTTTGTTTACATTGGTCAAATTGGTCAAATTGATTTGGTCAAATATTCTTACTTCGGTCAAATTGAGTGTCAATTGACAACTTTTGACTGGTCAATTGACCGAGGTGACATCCCTATCTCACACAATTCAAAGTTTTCCTGGAAAACTAATTGAGGGAAAATTTTGAAACTTTTTACATGTGAACAGGAAGGTCAGAGGCTCATTTTCTCAAAATTTCAAAATTTTCCAGTGGTAAATAACAACATGAAGAATCTTGGAAATCAACCTACAATAACTGAATTAATTGAAAATACAATCTCATACATTTCAAAGTTTTCCTGGAAAACTAGTGAAGGGAAAATTTTGAAACTTTCTGCATGTAAAGAGGAAGGTGAGAAGCTCATTTTCCCAGAATTTCAAATTTTTCCAGTGGAAAATAACAACATGAAGAATCTTGGAAATCAACCTGTCAAAAACTGAATTAGTCGATAATTCCGTTTCACACATTTCAAATTTTTCCTGGAAAACTAGCTCGAAAACTAGTTGAAAGAAAAATTTGAAAATTTTTGCAAGAGTAGAGGAAGATTAGAAACTCATTTTCCCATAATTTCAAATTCAATTCAAACATGAGGAATCTTGGAAATCAACCTACAATAATTGAAAATACAGCCTCACACATTTCAATGTTTTCCTGGAAAACTAGTGAAGGGAAATTTCGAGTCTTTTTGCATGTAAAGAGAAAGGAAAGAAGCTCATTTTCCCAAAATTTCAAATTTTTCTAGAAGAAAATAGCAACATGAAAAATCTTGGAAATCAACTTACAAAAACTGAAATAATTGTTAATACAGTCTCACACAATTCAAAGTTTTCCTAGAAAACTAATTAAGGGAAAACGTTGAAACTTTTAACATGTGAAGAGGAAGGCCAGAGGCTTATTTTCCCAAAATTTCAAAATTTTTCAGTGGAAAATAACAACATGACCAATCTTGGAAATCAACCTCCAATAACTAAATTAATTGAAAATACAGTCTTACACATTTCAAAGTTTTCCTGGAAAACTAGTGAAGGGAAAATGTTGAAACTTTTCGTATGTAAAGAGAAACGGGAGAAGCTCATTTTCCCAAAATTTCAAATTTTCCAATGGAAAATAACAACATGAAAAATTTTGGAAATAAACTTAAAAAAATTGAAATAATTGTTAATACAGTCTCACACAATTCAAAGTTTTCCTGGAAAACTAATTAAGGAAAAATTTTGAAACTTCTTACATGTGAAGAGGAATGTCAGAGGCTGATTTTCGCAAAATTTCAAATTTTTCCAGTGGAAAATAACAACATGAAGAATCTTGGAAATCAACCTCCAATAACTGAATTAATTGAAACTACCTCGGAAAATACAGTCTCACACATTTCAAAGTTTTCCTGGAAAACTAGTAGAGGGAAAATTTTGAAACTTTTTGCATGTAAAGAGGAAGGTGAGAAGCTCATGTTCCCAAAATTTTAAATTTTTCTAGTGGAAAATAACAACATGAAGAACCTTGGAAATCAACCTACAATAACTGAAATAATCAAAAATACTGTCTCACACAATTCAAAGTTTTCTTAGAAAACTAGTGAAGGGAAAATTTTGAAACTTTTTGCATGTAAAGAGGAAGGTGAGAAGCTCATTTTCCCAAAATTTTAAATTTTTCCAGCGGAAAATAACATGAAAAATCTTGGAAATTAACTTACAAAAACTGAATTAGTTGAGAATATTGTCTCACACATTTCAAAGTTTTCCTGGCACACTAGTGAACGGAAAAATTTGAAACTTTTCACATGTGAAGAGGAAGGTCAGAAAAAGATTTTCCCAAAATTTCAAATTTTTCCAGTGGAAAATAACAACATGAAGAATCTTGGAAATCAGCCTACAAAAACTGTACTCATTATTGTTTTGAATTTTTTAAATTTGGACCTGTAAATCATGAAGTGAAATTTTGGGAGAATTTCTTTAATGAAAATGAATGTTCAACGTTCAACACAAAACTAGATTTTTTTTTTTTTTTTTAAATTTCCAGTTATTAGTGTTTCTTATATTGAGTGTGAACCTCAGTGACGTCATGACTCTACAATTTCCTTTAAATTCCTCACAATTTACTCACAAATTCCTCCAAAAATTTCTCCGAATTCCCTATAAATTCCCCAAATTCTCCTAAATTCTGATGAGTTCCTTCAAATTCCCCAAAAATTCCTCTAAATTCCCACATTTTTGGCAAAGAATTCCTAGGTGGTTTGCCCCTTGCTTTTTCCATAATGATTCCTGCTAATTTACGTTCTCCTATTTCTTGAATAAAGAGTAGCTTAATCTGTATGGTCTGTTAAGTCGTAATTTCTGCTTCGGATTCGAAAGCCGTAGAAAACCCAACAATTAAAAACCATCCTCGTACTCATGCAACAATGTCATTATTCTTTGCTTTACTTCAGGTTTAAAGCTTCCGCCAATTTGAACATCTAGTTATTTTTTAGGTCTTCATGGTTTAACATTTGAGATTCTTATGGTCACTGCTTCTTCCTGAATTCTGGGTTAACAGACTCAACTCATGACGCATTTATCAACATGGCTATTTGGACTGACTTGTACTAACTTAACCTTCTCAATTTATACACACTTCGGATCTTCCTGTAACTTTTCAGATAATTCCACTTCCACATTAAGGTTGGTTATTAAGTTATCAGTGTGCTGGACTGGGTAGCGCGTGGGTTATGGATTTCTGTACTCTAAATGCGATATTTTTCCATAGAATTATAAAGTATCGAGAGGTATGATGGGTTTTGCTATTTGTTTTGTTTAGGCCCAATAAATGCTATTTGATTGTCAATGATGAATATAGAGTAACTTTTTTTGTATGCTTAGGGAACTTTCGTGAGTCATAAAAGCTTCACGGGCGTAAGAAAGAAAAAGATGCCTTATGATATGAAGTTTTTATATAGTTTTGTTATATGTTATAGTGTTTTGTTATGTGTTCTTAGTTGACAGGAAGATATTATTGTTAGATAGTTCAGAGGTTACATTTTTGAACCATTAAGGTCCTTTTTCATTCGAAATTCTTTCAATGTTGTCAAGTTTGAGCTTGAACATCGCTTCCGGCAGAGAAAATTCGACAGCTCCTGAGGTATTTTGGTTACATGGCTTTGAACTTTTTTCAGAAGATCAATGTTGTTGCTGTGAAATAGTTCCATGAACACACTACAAGTTCTTTGGGGTTTTGCCAGTTGAATATCAATCGATGTCGCTTTTGGTGGAATATGGGAGAACGCACTTTGGCAGAACTTTTTTCCCTCTCCTAAATTGTGCACACCTCCTAGATCTACCAAAAGATACGATTGTTGAAAAATTCAGGCCGATGAGCTATTGAACAACTTTAATTTAAAAAGATCAGAGCTGCTGGTCAACCTTGGTACGAAAAGTCTCAAAACTCCAATCAACTTTGTCTTGGGACCTTACAGCCTTAAGAAATACCTATGGAAATCGGAATTTAACGAAAGCGTTACCTGGAGATTCTGTGAAGATGGAGTTCTGATGGGATTGCGATGCTGTTCAAAGATGAGGAATCTGCAACCTAGGCCGCTGTGCAAATTGGCAGTTTCAACATACACAATACATTTTGGAATATTGAAATCACCTGAGTCAATGCTCTCCAAGAAAGTTACATAACTGGGAAGGCGAAATTTTGGATGCAAGTTAATTCCACCGAAAATGAGCGGATACTATGTTGAACCAAGTACAATAAGAACCAGTTCAATATCCTCATCAGAAGTAATTTGTTTACCTGAAATGTTTTTATTACCGGCAACAAGGACGCCTCCAAAACATTCCTTGTCGCTTGTTAGTATAACCCGAGAGAACCAATCGGGGACTACTCACATAGTTTGTTCCATAAGATAATAGTATAGATTGAAAATATCGCACAATGTCTCAGGAAAAGTCAATCTATGATCTGTTCTCACAAGAGTCTGTGACAGTTTGCAAACTCACAGAGACTCTTGTGAGAACAGACATTCGAATATTAATTATTAACATGTCTTACCTTGATATGCCATGTCAAAAAGAACAAACAATTTCCGCTCCTTGCACAGATTCGATATTTCTTCCCACTGTTCCATTGAAGGATCTATACCAGTGGGATTATGAGCTCTGGCGTGAAATAAAATGATCGCTCTTTCCGGCATGTTTCTTATGGATTCGCACATGCCACAAAAGTCTAATCCAATAGTTTTAGGGTCGTAGTATGTGTAGTGTTTCAAATCCAGTCCGGAAATTTTGAATAGAACATTGTGAACGGCCCATGTTGGAGTTGGTACATATATCACCTATAGATATGAAAGTACTTAAATTTAATGGCATTCTACTTTTTAAAAGCACTTGAAGTTGGAATTCTGTGGGGCAAAGATTCGTTAGTCAGAATGTTTTGCGAATTCTGAACTTATTTATTCATTTACAAATCAAATAACCCATTAGTGTTATTCCCTTGTCACAAATAGGAAACATATTATGGAATACAGTTAACCCCTTAGATGATTTACCTTTGAATGCGTATAAAATTTACTTATAAAATCGCCAGCCAATCTAAGCGCTCCAGTTCCAGATAATGATTGCACTGTAAGGTTGAGACCATGCTGCAAGATACAAGCATCTTTTCCGAAAGCCAATTCCGCGGCAAGTTTGGCAAATTCGGCCACGCCGCTTTGGACCGCATATTCGTGATTGTATTGTTTGCTTTGAATCATTTCTTCGGCCTTGCGCACGCAGGGTAAAACCCAAGGTTTACCTGTAGAATTAAAAAATGTAAATTATTCAAATTTTTCTCTTAAGATTTCTCATTGTGAACTTTGTTTCTAACCGGCATCATCTCGATAAGCACCAACTCCCAATAATACTTTTTTCGAGTCCTTATCGGCTCGAAAAGCTGACGTTACGCCAAAAATTGGATCAGGAGGTGCAGCTTCTATACCAGCCCATGCCGACTGACTTCTTTGGTGTACTACAATGAACCCATTTCTTGTGACTGATATTATTTTTACCAAATTCAATGATTTCTTCAAAACTGACATGGTAAGGTTTCACGCGTGAAAAAATTTACATAAAAACAAAATTTGAAGAGAAAAATTGTAAAATTAAACATTGAAAATATAAATTTTTGTCATTTGGCAGCAGCTACTGTCATTTTCCACCTTCGGGTGGCGAAATTGTTTGACAGTAAATTATTTCAAATTCAGAATTTTCATTCTTCACAAACTGCTCGAAAAATGATTACCATTTTTGTATACAAAATGTTTTATTCCAAGTGAAAAACTCTATACCATCGGTGTCAACGAGTCTTTTTTAAATGCCTCTCTTCCCTCCAGCGCAAGTCGTGTAGGCAAATATTAGCATTTGTTTAGTGTTTGTTTGTGTATTCTATTGTTTTTGTCATCTCACCTCCTAGGTGGAATTCCTGGTTTACTGTTGGTTTATTTATTGTTGTATTTTAACAGCAATTTTGTACCTGAATGTATAAGGTCGCTTTTGAAATGTAAAAATAATCTGTAAAACCATTATGTGGTAAAACCTGTCAAGGCGTAGAATATGGAAGGATGAAATAATTGATGCTTTTTGCAAAAGTTGTGAACTGAAGCTCATGCTTTTTCACTGACTGAGCGCACTATTTTATTATATACAATTGCATGGCCTAAAGATGTGACTTGTTGGTATTATATTAAAGAGCAGATACTGGAACCTAATACTAAAGTGCCTGGCGGAAGCAAAGAATTTCTATGACCTTTGAGCGCCCTCATCGATGTGATAAATTTTGTTTTTGTGTATTCTACCAAGTCGTACAACTCTTATTCCTCATTGTAAAGCCATTGAAGAGAAAATGTTGACCTACCAGATCCGCAGTCGTTTCCCACCATCTTCTTTTTCTCAGTTTTTCTTTTTCTGCTCGCCAAGTTTTTCTTACCAGTATCATTTAGGTTCAAAAATTGTTTGATGTCACTATCTTTTATTTAATTGATCCCTTCCAAGCTGTTCGAAAACCGTTTTTGATTTTTTTCAAATCGATGTTTTTTGCTTTTTGTTGGATCTATTAAGAACGGAAAGCACCGATCTTCCTAACGTTATCGAAACGGAAGGCGATCTAGAATTTTATTCTAGTGAAATAAAGAATCCATAACCACAACGTATGAGAATTGGTTGTCCTGGTGGCCTTGTCGAAACTCAGCTTCTTAAGGAACGACACAAGAAAATTATTCAATAGGGCTAAACGCACCAACGACTGGAGCGAATACCAAAGAGCCCTAACAGAATACAACAAAGAACTGAGAAGAACTTAAACAATCCTGGAGGAGATGACCGACGTCCCTCAGATAATGCGCCTCCAGAGAGTCCTATATATGAAAAATTCACTCAAACGATATCGAGCTCCTTCAAAGATCTGATGGCCGCCACACCGAAAATAGACTAGATGAATAGTGTAAAATTACTTTTGCGAACACACTTTCTAGGCTCTATCGAGTAGCAACATGATGGAAACAGGGCTACGGTGGTAAAAGGCGTTCCGCGACTGACCAGCTAGCCCTACAAATCACCAGGTGAACATGGGATCTTTCCCGCCCTCCTACAACAGGGCTTGGGAGAATTAACAGCACATCCCGCAAAAATATTCAAAGCTAGCTACAAATTAGGCCACATGCCTATTGTTTGCCCAGTGGATCTGAGTCTACGGAAGGAATTCGGACGTAAATGTGCCATGTTGCCATGTTTAATTATAAAAAAGCGAAAATACTAGGCATGAGTATAGTTAATTTGAAAATCCATTATTTAATAACAAAATATTGATAACAATAATAAAACGCTAAATATTTTAACGTGGTTGTTAGATTTATCCTCATTTCAATCCTGATTTCTTCAGTTTGGTCTATTAGGCAATTCAATCCATCTGTCAGATAGGAAAATTCAATATGACGTGGCGGCCAAGCAAGTTTGTTTTGAATGTGTTTTTATGCGTATTTCAAATTATTTTGCTTAGAGTTTTGCTTGCAACTTTGATTTGGATTATTTAATAAAATATTTGTTGTCTAGGTACCTAAACTAATAAATCAGGCAGAATCTAGATATTTTTTTGGGTTTTTTGGCCCATGTGTGGCCGCCACGCCATCTTGAAAGTCACGTGGTTTGAATTGCCTAATTGTAAAAAATAAACATTTTCTAAAGATACCATCAGCTTTTGACAATTTGGCAAGCATCCGTCCTGGATGAACCTGACTGGTGGAGTTTTTGGCAGGATCGCCGTTGTCATGAGGAACCATACGGTTGTCAATAAACTAACGTCACCTTACGTCTCACTATTGGCCAGGGCTCACGTCATTTTATCCTCCCATCTTGGAATATCGATTTATATTGAAATATCCAGTGGCGGAGATTTGGTCATTGCTGATTTTCGTGTACGAGTTGCAATACGATAACACTTCAAAAAAGTTCCGCACGCAGCTGGGTATTTTATGAATTAAATCAGCCATTTTTTCTTACAACTGCATTCCCCTTACCGTTGCCCCGTAGACACAGACTCGCTGGGCAAACATTACCAGTTGGCGGGATGTGAATGTGGTCTTCATTCCAAAGGCGGGTAGGCTTCCTACAATACCTTCTAAATTATTCAGACTAATTAGCCTAACCTCATTTCTCCTAAAAACTATGAAGAAAATCATTGAGCTACACATTAGGAGTGAATTCCTAATAAAAACCCCGCTCCAAAAGAATCAAGTCGCCTATGAGCCAGATAAATTAACTACACAGACTGGACACTAAGATTGAAAAGAGAAAGGGCACACTCAAGTCAAGAAACCGCTCTACGAGGATTCATTGATATAGAGGGAGCTATTCGATAACACCACATAAATCCATAAGAAAAGCGGCCAGCGGTCTCAGCAGTCAAGGGATGCCCTCAAAGGGGTGTACTGTCCCCACTGCTGTGGTCACTGGTAGTAGATGAACTTCTCATTGCGCTCGGATATGCTGACGACTTCACAGTCATCATTAGGGTTAAGCACGCCAGGATCATTAGTGACCTCATGCAAAAAGCCCTAACCCTAACGAAACCATAATTGTACCTTTCACAAGGAAAAGGAGGCTAAATCTAACAGCCCCAACCGTAAATGGGATACAAAACCACTTCGCAAGTGAGGTTATATATGTTGGAGTCATCCTGGATCAGAAACTCACTTGGAACCAACATCTTAAAGGAGTAATCGATCAGCATTATTCAGCAAGACTTGGGGTTTAAAGCCAAAAATGATCTATTGGCTATTTACAATGGTCATAAGACTCATGGTCACTTATTGTTTGCCCAGCGGATCTGAGTCTACGGAAGGAATTCGGACGTAAATGTGCCATGTTGTCACGTTTAATTATAAAAAAGCGAAAATACTAGGCATGAAGTATAGTTCATTTGAAAATCCATTTTTTAATAACAAAATATAGATACCAATAAAACGCTAAATATTTCAACGTGGTTGTTAGATCTATTCTTATTCTGATAACTGATTTCTTCAATTTTGTCCATTGTAAAAAATAAACATTTTCTAAAGATACCATCAGTTTTTGACAATTTGGCAAGCATCCGGCCTGGATGAACCTGATTGATGGAGTTTTTGGCAGGATGGCCGTTGCCACGTGGAACCATGTCGTTGTCAATGGGATAAACGTCACCTTACGTCTTGGTATTGGCCAGGGCTTCTGTCATTGTATCCTCCCATCTTGGAATATCGATTTATATTGAAATATCCAGTGGCGGGGGTTTGGTCATTTTCGATTTTCGTGTAGGAGTTGCAATACGATAACACTTCCAAAAAATTCCGCACGCAGCTGGGTATTTTATGAATGAAATCAGCCATTTTTTTTTACAACTGCATTCCCCTTACCGTTGCCCCGTAGACACAGAGTCGCTGGGCAGACATTAGGCTGCTATAGTATGGTGGCCAAAAGTAAAACAACAGACGGCGCAAAACCGATTGGCAACTATACAAAAGTATGCATGTCTTGGAATCACAGGAGCAATGAACACCTCTGTCCAACCGCTGGAATGGAGGTCATGTTAGGCCTCCCCCCACTATACATATATATACATATATAATAGTGAGGTGAAAGGCCTACATGGCAGCCTCGAGAAATAATAATGCAGTCTCTAAAACCTAAAGCATGGGGACTTTGTCCGCCACGTGAGCATTATGAAACCCAGGATGCCCCATTGAGATTTTGGACCTCTTGGATATTTGGGGTGATCGCAGGAACGTCAAATAAGCGGCCGCTTAAGACGACTTTGGCCAGAAAGGATTGGCGAGAACCCCTACTCCGACTAGTGAAAGTTTTTCCATAGTTTGACGGCTTTTTAACAGCTGCGGCGCCTGAAGGGCCCGCGCCGGGAAGGTGATTTCTCTGAAGTCCAGCTTTCCAAGGCGTAGTCGAATTGCTGGTCATTTCCGGTCAGGGTCATTTGAAGAAGAGTTTCCGAATGACGTTCGCCGTTGTTGTTGGAATTGGGGTCGCGGAGAATGGCCAGCTGCACCAGAAGGTGATTGAAAATGCTAGTCATGCCTCCCGGTTCTCGGTTCGGAGTTGCCACTACCTCCTGACCGACGTTGGGTTGGGTTCGTCGGTGAGGTCAATGACCGGAAGGGGAGGTGGCATCAGTGAAGCAGGTGGGGGGATTGTTAGGTGGTGCGGCGTGGTCATCAATGAATGTCATTCGACATTTGGGTGCCCGATAAAGTGAACTATTAGAGTCATCCCCGGGAGACTTTGGTCTCGTTGATCTCGATCCCCTCCGGGTGGAGATGGTGGGGGTTTGGGACGCACAACTCTGTTCTTTGTCTTACCTGGGCCCTTATCCCTAGCTACAGGCGTGCTGGTGACTGGTGCGCTATCGTCTCCCGAGATGGAGTTCGATGGGGTTCAAAAGACCGAATCATCAGGGAACGAGGGTGGGTCGTCCTGGGTCGATTTGAGAGTGAATTTTTGATGGACCAGGAGTTTGCGAGTAATATCAGTATCATGTAATTTAAATTTACACAGTTTGTGCCTGCGGCAACCTTCCCCCTCTCCCTATAAACGAATTTATAAAATTATTATGCACCCTGCACCCATGAGAACTTTCAAAAGTCGGCGGTGTCATTTCCACCGGGATTCCACCATTTTCCGTTTTATTTTTAAAGAATGCTCAGAAAGTGTTTGGATCTGCCATGAGCCTGCTTTCAATTGAAGTTTTATATGCATTGTATTCAGATTTTGTTTGATTCTTAATTTGTACTCTCAATAATAGATATTCTGCACTCTCTGGGTTATCTGGCCCGTTTTTTAAGAAAGAACGATGGAGCCTGTTTTTCCTCCTAATTTTACGTACAAGGTCTATGGAGAACCAGGTAGGAAATTTAGCTTCACTGTTTAAATTTATTTTGATCTTTGGTATAGAGTTATCTAGGAATCTGTACATACTTTCATAAAACTCATTCAAACCCATCCCCACATCCTGACATGACAATAACGAGGACCAATCACAATCCGAAATTAACTGATAAAAATGTAAAAAGTTACCTTTAGCATAGTCATAGATATATGCATTTTTTAAAATTGTTTTTTCCCGTACCTCTGTCACCTTTACATGCAGGTCTAGGGCTGGGTGATATGGGTCCTCATGGGACCAATGGATTTTCAGACCAGGGCCGGTATTCTGGTCCTCGAAAACGCTCAGCGCTTTTCAGTCGCTCGGCACTTCTAATGTAAATTTACATTAAAAGTGCCGAGTGACTAAAAAGCGGTGAGCGTTTTCGGGAACGAGAATACCGGCCCTGTTCACACTATGGCCACTCATGTTTGTCAGTACCAAATCTAAAAACCTATCAACATAATTAGGAATGTTGTTTACTTGCAGTAGGTTGTACAGGGTGTCCGAATTTGGATGGTTTTAATAGGAAACATCAATTTCTGTGCAAGATACAAAAAAATGAACCCCCCACTCCGAGGCTCAGATTTCTTGAAATTTTGATTGGTGCAAACCGCATTTTGATATCTTCAACCGTTTAGCCGCTAGAGGGCGATTCTCGATTTTGAGCAATAATGTGAAACTATCATAACTTTTTTGTTTATGAAAATTATTGATTTCCGTAAAAACTTTCTAGAAGCATTTTTTAAAGCAGAATTCAGTGACGTTCTCAGTTTTTTTCTAGTTGGTCCCAACTCCGAGATATTGACCAAAGTCTGGTTTTTTTCAATAGGACACTCTATATATTAATAGCTCATTAGAAAGCTCGGCTTTTTCTGATTTCAATGATAAAAGTTCGATAGGTTTATCTCTAATAGTTTTCGGGAAAAAAAATTATTTCGGTTTTTGTCATAAGAAGCAATGTGTAAGAAAAGGACTTTATATCTGTAAGGAAACTGAGAAAGGTCTCTTTCTAACTCATTGTTTCTTATGACAAAAGCCGAAATATTTTTTTTCTCGAAAACTGTTAGAGATAAACCTATCGAAATTTGTATCATTGAAATCAGCAAAAGCAGAGCTTTCTAATGAACTATTAATATATAGGGTGTCCCATTGAAAAAAATCGTATTTTGGTCAATATCTTGAAATCGAGGCCGCATAGAAAAAAACTGAAAACGTCACTGAATTCTGCTTGAAAAAGTGCTTCTAGGAAGTTTTTACGGAAATCAGTTATTTTCATAAACAAAAAAGTTATGAAGATTTCACAGTATTGCTCAAAATCGAGAATCGCCCTCTAGCGGCTAAACGGTTGAAGATATCAAAATGCGGTTTGCATCAATCAAAATTTCAAGAAATTTGAGCCTCGGAGTGGGGGGTTCATTTTTTTGTATCTCGCTCAGAAATTGACGTTTCCTATTAAAACCATCCAAATTCGGACACCCTGTACATGCTAAGGAACTGCTGCATCAAGACATTTTTTTTTCACTCCCATCATAGCTAAAAACATTAAAATGTGGTAAATTAAAATCGCCTAGTAATATAAAATTTGAATTGCCAAACAATAGACTATCCCTCAGACTATCCTCAAATAAATTAAAATACTGATTATAAAGCTCTATATCAGAGTTTGGAGTAAAATAAACTACAGAAACATAAAACCATACATGTTTAAAATTAACCTTGACAATCACGTAGTCACTATCACAGTCAATATCGATTATTTCAGACTAGCTCTCTTTTGTGCGCCAAAAGTACACCACCTCCTCTGAGTTTTCCATTTGATCAGTTCTTTCTAACCACTGTATATCTGCTGTCAAATAGTTCAGAATCTAGGAAACCAGAGTTCAACCAAGTTTCAGTTAGGGCCACCATGTCATAGTTTTCAGATAAAATTCCTGTATAGAAGGCATTTGTTTTTGTTCTAAGACCTCGCACATTCTGATGAGTAAATTGAAATTGAAAATTTTGCATTTTTTGCACTTGCTGTATTTTGAACACTTATTGATTCTGAGGATCCACTTGTGCTAATGGCATCCTCCTTTTTGTGAAAAACTGGGATATTATGGCTTCGTTGGGCCAGGTTTCCCTGTTCCAGGCTTTTTTGAAGTTTTCTTGACTTAGGGTGACCTTCATCGAGGTGTATTTATCAGGGTGTTTTGATTGTATTGGCTCGCAAGTAATTTCATGTCACTATTATCCTTAGAAGTACTTCGCACAAGTGATTTTTGCAGATTTTACTCATTTTTGCATGCATTAATGTAAAAAAAGCTTTCAAATTAAGTTTGAAGCTTCAAATCAATTTTAAATTAACCTTTCCACAAAGAGGAAACTTCAATTCATATACCTATCCTGAAAGTTCAAGTTACTATTTTCATTAGAAGTACTTCACACAGGCAATTTGTGCAGATTTTAATCATTTTTGCATGCATTAACGTAAGAAAAAGGTCTTAAATTTAGTGTGAAGCTTCGAATCAACTTCAAATTAATTTTTCCACAAGGAATAAACATCAATTCATAAATCCTGAAAGTTTCAAGTGACTGTGATCATTAGAAGTGTTTTGCACATGTGATTTTTGCAGATTTTAATCATTTTTACATCCATTAACGCTAGAAAAAGATTCCAAATTTAGTTGGAAGTTTCAAATCAATTTCAAATTAACTTTTTCAGAAAGAGGCTGAAAGTTTCAAGTCACTGTGATCTGTGATCATTGGAAGTACTTTACGCAAGTGATTTTTGCAGATTTCAATCATTTTTGCATGCATTAATGTAAGAAAAATCTTTCAAATTTAGTTTGAAACTTCAGATCACAGATCTTCAGATCAATTTGAAATTAACAATGACAAAGGGGAAACTTCAGTCCATAAATCCTGACAGTTTCAAGTCACTGTGATCATTAGAAGTTTTTTGCACAAGTAATTTTTGCAGATTTTGATCATTTTTCCATGCGTTGACGTAAGAAAAAGCTTCCAAATTAAGTTTGGAGCTTCAAATTAACTTTTCCACAAAGAGGAAACTTCAATATATCAAGATCTGTAAGGAAGCGTTTGCCGGATCCATTAGAAATTTTAGTCATGAAATAAACCAAGAATCACCCCCTTCCTTTTGTACATGTTATTTAGGAACATCCTTTATATATAGGGTATTTCTCAGAGACGTGTTTCTGAATAGTGGGATCAAACTTCTAGGATAGTACTCAATAAAATAAATAAAAAGGTTGATAGAAACATGAATCCGTCCGCGAATGCTTAGTATCCGAGATACGGGGTGTTTAAGTTTGAAAAAAAAAATAATTTTTCAATCCCTTTAACCAATGTCGTTATGCTCTCTGGGTCTGAGGCGCCACTGGAATAATTACGGTAAATCTAATTGAGTTAAAAGATACATTTGACAAGTTTTAAAAAAATCGGGTTCATTTAAGCCATGAATTCCTCCAAAGAATGTTTTGTATATTCTTCAATATAATATAGGAATTAGTGATTTCCCCTTGCTCGCTCACTGCGTGAATATCTTCCTCTTTGTCTTCCTTTTTCAGTAACTAGACAGTGAAAATCGTTTTGATCTAACTGGTGATACCCAACCCAAACCCAACACTCTCTTATAATTCTATATTTGAAATCAAATTGTAGATTTTATTGTATTTATTGACAATCACAAAACATCAGTAGAATATTCCTCCAAGCTATAGAAGGCCCTCTTCAATAACATACTCTCAACATTCGTTTGAAATTATTTCTAGTCTAAGGGTCGGTATTTCAATGTGACCTTAAGCTACAAACGTTAAGAAGATCTTAGGTAAGTCTTGATTTTAAGATAACATTGAAATACCGGCCCTTAGATTGATTTTAATTTATTATTAAGGCGATTAAAAATTGTTTCGTACACTTCCTTAGGTTTTATCCATATTTTTTGTATGTATGAGCCAGATATTTCTAAAATGAACACGTGGCCTTGAATTCTTCTCCGTTTTCCTCCATAATCTGAAATGCCTTAAATTATTGAGTATAAGGTATACCCTGGACCTCTAGAAAGTCGTTTTAAATACTCAAACGTTGACTGCTTTCAATTATTTGGCAATTTATATGTTTTATAATAATAATTCATCACCACCAAAAGTTTAGATATTAAAAAATAATAATAATAATAATAACTAAATAATAATAAAACATATAAATTGCTAAACTATAATTATTTCGCTTCTTTCTAGCTCCCATTAAAGCAGCGCCCCCTCGTAAACCTAAGTCCCCTAACATTGGACGGAACAGGAAACGTACCGTCCAGAAATCCCATGCGCACATAGATTTGAGCCCTTTAACCATGCCAGACTTTGTGAAGCCCAGGGGCACTTGGAAGCAAGTCTTTGAAGGTTTAGGTAAAGCACCATCAGAAACTGTCTCAGCTGTTAATGCAAGAGATCGTGAGGAAGAAGTTTTAGAGAATTACGATGAGTTTAGAAAAAGTTTGGGGTCAGGCGAGTGCCTAAGAATTAATACGGTTCATGAAGAACAAGAAGATAATGCAATACCTCTTAGAGCAGTCGACAGTAGACATAATATGCTTGATATAAGTGAGTCGTGTGATAATATTTCGATTTTTCATTGACTCTCACTTTGACTGTGAGATATCAGTGATTGGAATTCACGAAGTGATTTTTTCATTAATTCAGGGTCCAATGATGCTGAAGAAACAAACCAAGATCATCCTTCCGATTCCGATCTCCCATTCACGAACGAAGAAATCATGGAAGGCCTTAAAGCATATGCGAATCAGTATTTTAATAAACACAACGCGTCACTTTCCAATGATGTACCGTAAGTTTTGTTCATTTACGTTGTATCAAATTAGTAATTCCGATATCTTAGGGATACAATGTCAAAGATTTGTGTTGCCAATCAATTGCCACAAGCAATGGGTGACCTAACTCTGGAAGAGATTAAAATGCAGAGAGATTTGAGAACATTTGAAATTTTGGAGAAAAAAACTAACAGCAGTTCGTTTTGTTCTACCAATACTAGTATTGTTAATCTTCTGGCCAGCACCCCACAAAAACTCCCAAGGAATAAAATCTTCCAAGGTAATGTACTAAAATTTTAAGCCTATGTTTATTTATAATGTTTTTAGAAGAACAAATAATGGATGAAGATAATGAATCAGTTTCTCCTCAACAAACCAGGCAAGATATTCAAGTGAAAATACAGGAGGTTTCAGATAAAGCTGATATGCTTCAGAATTTTTTAAAAAATTTAAAAACTATGGGTAAGGAAACTCAAAGTCGTCTAGGAAATGGTAATCTATTAAACTTGATCTATAAATTTCATTAATAATAATAATTTCATTGAAGATGTTAAAAAACATGACAGGTCCTGTTCAAGGGACACGAGTTTTTCTGATGATAACAGCCGTTGGTCATCGAGGTCTCCGAGTGTGACTGATAATTATACGGAATACGATACTACCTACCAAAACACGGCAAAAGTTGATGCAGGCGTCAATACCAGTTTTGATAGGTTAGACGAAACGGTTCAAAATGACCAGGCTTGTGAAGAATGTAAGGAACTAAGGTTAGTCAATTTTCAAATTAGAAAAAACTCAATTTTCACTTGGTACCGTTTTGTACGTTTATTAGTACTTTTTCATTACTTACTAATAGATGTTCGAAACGTTACCAAGTGAAAGTTGAGTTTTTCTTTGTGCCAAATTTATCAGGAAACTAAATCAACATGGACTAAAACTAACCGTTCTTATTAACAATTTTCAGAACAAAATATTCAGACACCAAAATAAAATTGACAGAGGAAACGAGAGAAAATACAAGACTAAATAAAGAAATAAAGGATCTTCACACAGAGTATAACAAATTCAAGAAACAAACAAAAAAAGAAGAAGAAAAACACAGAGAGAAGTTGATCGAACTTCAGAAAGAATTAGATAATGAGCGGAAAAAAATTACTAAAGAACAATCTTATTTTGAAAGGTATTATTTAGATACATATTTGAAATGTTATTTAGTAAAAATAAATTTCAGCTATATAAAAGAAGCCCAAAATAGGTCATCAAAGAAAGACAGAGAAGAAATAAGAAATCTCAAACAAGAGCTGGTGGATTTGAAAGAACTAGTTAAGCTAAAAGACACTAAAACCGGAGCTACTCAAGCACGCCTCAGGACTCAGATTAAACAGCAAGAAAAAGAAATATCTGAACACAAAATTACTGTGGAAAAATTGCAAAGAGAAAACGCCAAATTAACGTAAATACTTTAACTATAAAAAAAAATAATTCTAAAACAACTATTTTTTTTAGAGCAAATCAAAAATATTCTCGTCGACCTCAAGAAGTAAAAATGCTACACGAAATCAACAAGAATCTATCCAAGTTAGCTGAGGAAACGTTAAAAAGTCAAGTGAATAAGTCGAAAAATAACAATGATGAGAAAGAAGATATAAAGTCTGAACAAAGAAATTCTCAACACTTAATAATTGGCGGTGAAGGTGACAAAGAAAATAATAAAAATAAGAAGAATGTGGATAACGATAAGGTAATGTTTTTTCTTGAAGTCGAATATTTTTGAATTTTTTAGTTAATTATTATTGTGTAGATTGCGCGAAAACTCTCTTGAGTGGATTTTTTTTTTTGAGATTCAGCGAGCGGAGCGAGTAATCCTTGACTTGAAAATATCTCAAATTTAAAAAAAAAAACATATACAATAAAGGTGACAGTTTTGTGGCTGATTTTTCCAAAATACTGCTACTTTTCTATAAAGTAGTATTCTCAGGCATTTCTGACCACAAGGGCCTAATAGTACCAATAATGTTATATCAAGATAAAATAACGGCAACATGGCCAACGATGTGCAGCAAAATTTTAGTGGTTCTAAAAGTTTTTGTAAATATTGTAAAAAAGAAGTTACAAATGTTATAAAATGTGTGAAATGTGATGATAGCTTTCATCCCAGCTGCCTTACACAATCTGCAAAGCTGAAAAATAGCGTATGTGTACATGAGGCTAGATCAACAAGTCAGGCTACTACAAGTAAGGTTAAGACACCTGAAACTGAAAACGAATCTCCTGCTGAGGTTCAGAATAAACTGCTGCTTCACATTATTAAGGAAATGGAAAGTAAGTTTGAGTTACTCAATGAAAATAATGTTTTATTGAAAGAAAAAATTATTTCTTTGAACGAAAAACTTGCTATTTTGGAAATCAGGGAAAAAAACGAGTCATCTGGCAACTCCGCAAATCCCCACGCTGGTCCGTTCGCAGGCTGATATGACGTCGTTATCAGGCCTGTTCGCAGAACAATCACAAACCAGTCAGAGTGAATCTCATTGGTTGAAAATAGTTTTCTGACTGTTTCTGATTGTTTTCAACCAATGAAATTTGGTCTGACTGGTTTGTGATTGCTGTGCGAACAGGCTTATTAGCTGACGAATTAGCAAATTCCAGTGCTACCAACAGTGGGAAATTTAATAACCCTGGTGGAATTAATTATAATAATAGTAAACAGAAACAAAATTCGCATGATCCATCTCGTAGTGCTGATAAAAATAAAAATGTTGCCAATAATAACGCGACCCAGCAAATTTTCACACAAAGATCAGTTGGAGTGGCAATTATGGAGGCTCAGACAAAGACAAAAATTGCCGAAATTCAAAAAATGAGTGATGATAACATCAATTCCGAGGATCACCACCATTACGTTAGGTGACTGGCAGGATGTTAAAAAACCACAAAAAAAAAGACGCTTTGTAGTTGGAAACAACAACGAAGCTGCAACTGAAGTGAAGACAGTTCAAAAATCAGTTGCATAACATGTAACACGATTGCATAAGGACACAAAACCTGAAACCCTTAGAAACCTTTTGGCAACCTCTTTTCCAGAGGTCAAATGTGAAAGCCATATCTCAAGGCAACCGGATTTGTACAGTTCCTTTAAGGTAACAATTTGGCAAGATAGTTTATCTAAAGCTTGGCGTAAAGAAATATGGCCAGTAGGCGCTGTGGTTTCCCAATTTTTTTTCAAGAGGAGGATGCCAACCAAGGAGCAATAGCTGGATCCTCAGGCGTCATAAAAAATAACCTTCAAACTAATTTTGTTGTTAATAGTAGCAGCAGTGTAAAAAGTCCAAGTGTTTTATCAGAAAAAGTCTCCAATACTGAAGATGGAAGCATTTCAAATTGTATTGAACTAGTTGTTTACTACCAAAATGTACGAGGCCTTCGTACGAAAACTCACGATTTTTACACCAGTACCAGAGGATCAGAGGATTATGATATTATTTCTTTAACAGAAACTTGGTTAAATGAGAACTTTGGTATAGTCAGGAACTGTTTGACTCATGATATAATATTATTAGAAGAGATCGTAACTCTCAAAAGTCTAGAGGAGGAGGCGTCTTGCTTGCACTAAAAAAACATTTGGTTTTTGAACAAATTAATTCAAATTCAAATTCTTTATTCATGTTATTATACAGAGCAGAGTACTTACACACGTCAAAAATGTAATAAAAAAAATAGAGTAAAGCACTATTCATTATATAAAAATTCTAAAAAAAAATTGTAAAACTTAATCCTAATTTACCACAATTTAAAAAACAAGAATTTAAAAAACAAGTCAGGTACTATAGAATACATCACACTTTCAAAGGATAACATTACAATTAAAAAATTCACTAACACTATAAAATCCCTTACTCAGAAGAAAATCTTTGAAAGCCCTTCTAAAAGTATTGGGGGGCATCTCCCAAACGTGAGGGGGCAGCTTATTAAAAAGCCTGATCCCAAGGAAGCCAGGGCCATCTTGACCTCTTTTAAGTCGTCTGTGCGGAGGCACTAGTTGCCCACGGCTGCGGGTTTCATAGGAATGCACATTCTCATGCCTGTCAAGATTATGCAGGTTATTCCTCACATGCAGTACACATTCAAGAATGAATTGAGCAGGGACGGTCAAGATCCCTAGGGACACAAACGCGTGTCGACAGTCATCACGGTATGATAAGTTTGCGATAACCCTAACTGCACGTCTCTGGACACGGAAGACATCTGTTGCGCCAGTACAATGGCCCCAAATTAAAATTGCATAAGATATATGGGAGTGCAAAAGGGCAAAGAATGCCTGTCTCAGGACTGACTGGGATACACTGTCTGACAGCCTACGAAGTAGAAAGGTGTTTGAGCTTAATTTGGAAACCAAGGAAGATGTGTGATGATTCCATCTTAGTCTAGAATCTAAAGTTATGCCTAAGAATTTAGCAGTGACATCATCTTCCGGAAGCCATCTCATGGAAAAGACCATGTTTTGAGTTTTGGCCATGTTCAAGAACAAATTGTTACGCCTTGAACCAGAGCTCTGCCCTTTCCTGCGCCTCACGCGCCGCAGTCCTAGCTCCCTCGTAATCATGGCTGGTGCAAGCTATGGTAGTGTCATCCGCGAAGAGGGTGTACCGGGCGATGTGATCTGCTCGAGGTAGATCATTTATATAAATAAGAAACAAAACAAAAGGGGTCCCAAGATTGACCCCTGTGGTACACCAACCAGCACCTCCCTCTCCGAGGATTCCACACCACCAGCCCTCACCACCTGAGGACGGTTTGACAAGTAACTAGATAGAACTGCAATACTACTATCGGAAAAATTTAATTAACATAGACTGTGATGTAGAAGGGATCCTGGTGAAAGTTAAGTACAAAACTAATGTATTTTATGTTTCTGTCGTATATTTTGTACCAAACACACCTTTAGATCAATATGAAAAGTATTTTAATTGTTTCGAGTTTTTAAATGTATCTGAGTCAAAAATACTAATATTGGGAGATTTCAACTTGCCAAATTTTATTAAAAATGATAACTCTAACTGTGATAAAAGTAATGCCTTGAATTTGTTTTTAAAAATGTATAATCTAGACCAGGTAAACTTAGGACCAAATTGTATTAATAGGATTTTGGATTTGGTTTCCTCAAACATGTTGCTCTCCCCAATTCATAAAACTGGGTACCCATTAGTAAGTGAGGATTCGTACCATCCATCTCTCACTTTTTCTTTGTTTTTAAAAAAGCACAAAGCACAAAAGGGTTACAAGAAAACGCACTTGTATGATTTTCCAAAGGCAAATTTCCTGGAACTATATCACTTATTGTCGGTCTGTAATTGGACGCCTGTTTTTCAATGCACAGATGTCGATGAATGTTTAAGAGCTTTTTATGATGTAATGTATTCATGCCTGGATATGGCGGTACCAAAATATGCTGTTTCTGAGAACTGTGATATAAAATGTAAGTATCCTTCATGGTTTTCCTATAGGCTAGTCAAAAAAATTAAGTGTAAGAATCATTTGCATAAATTAGTTAAGAAAAATAAAGTTAGTAATGAAAAATTTAATGAGTACTTTCACCTGAAGAAGCAAATTAAAAAAGATGTGAAAAAGGGATATGCTGAGTACCAAAAAAGTGTAGAAAGCAACTTAATAAATGATCCTAGTAGTTTCTGGTCATTTGTTCGCAGTAAGAGAGGTCAGAATGTAATACCGGAAGAAGTTACATATGAAAACGCCATTTTTAATGATCCATAGGATATTGCTGAAGCCTTTGCAAATTATTTTAAATCGGTTTATGAAAATGGTTCTATGCATTCACTAGATAATCTGAATTGGGGCAGTTTCGAATTTGAATGCATCTCTGAAAGTTTAGTGAAAGAAGGCATAAAGCTGCTTAAACCAAAAAGATCCACAGGTGTAGATGGTATTCCTAGCTATATATTTAAAGCGTATGCTGAACACTGAACAGCTTGCACAACCGTTATCTTTCTTATTTAATTTGGCCATAAATTGCAATAAGTTTCCAGAAGAACTAAAAACTGCAGTTGTAGTACCAATTTTTAAAAAAGGTAAAATCCGTGATGTCAATAATTATCGACCCATAAGTTTAATTAATACACTAACTAGCAAAATTGTTTGAGTTGATATTATATGGTCAAATTAAAAAATTGGTACAACCAGAAATCACAAATTTTCAGCATGGATTTCTTAAGGGACGCTCGACTACTACAAACCTGTTAGTCTAGGAAAATTGCCGATTTTCAAAAAAAAAATTCCTACCCAAATGAACTTTTCAGGGATGATAGGGGGCGAGTGGGTAATCATAAAACCGAAAATATCAAACATTCACTGCGCTATAGGGGTTGAAAGTGCGCCATTGGCGATTACTTGGTACCTATTGATTTTACAAAAAAATGTTTCAAATAAAAGATGCGCAACATTATTTAATCTACAATGTTTATCTGAAGACTTTTTTGATTAAGGGCTGTCTGTGGTCATAAGGGCCGTTTGAAATTTCATAATGAAAATGAAAAATTGTAACCAACGTGAAAAAATTTTCTACAACACATACAACATTTTTGATTTATGAAACTTTTACTCACCCCCTGCCGTTTTTCAATAGGGGTAGTTTAAAGTTTTTTTTTATTTTTCTACAAAAAAATTTTCTTAATAAAAGTTTTATAAGATTACATTTCCTACAATTTTTCCTTATAAACTTTTTTT